CTCATGGTGTCTGGAGTAGATCTGAACACAGAGTAAGTGGGCAGCGAAACCTAGTGACCAGTGGCAAGGACAGGAGACAAACACAGAAAAGGGACCACGGCCCTCCCAGCGAGGGCAGGGAGCCTGCTGGTGAATTCAGGCAAGGGTCACTGTCAACAATAGTGAGGCCTGGTGAGGTTCAGAGAAAGAAACATTAAAATTTGGGAGTTGGTAGGAGATTTGGATCCAACTGAAACAGAGAAGAAACCACTGAGAAAATGCCTGTTTTAGAACTCCAGGGAAGAAGGGAGATTATTAAAATTTTTTAAAAAAAGTATTTATTCAACATCTTTTTTGGAACATAGAGCTCTAAATAGGTAATTGATCCTACTCCAAGAAACTGGTGGAGAGAACAATTCATAGTATACAGAGGCATTCCTACTTGCAGTTAATGTGAGTTCAGTAGATAGAGAATGATACACATCACAACCTTAAAATATAATTTTTGATGTGGAAAAATAATTTCCCAAGATGCTCAGTGGAAGTGCTGTGAAGATGCAGGAGAAATCCCTTCCCACGTGTACAGCAGAGAGGGCTGGGTCTCTGCAGGTATTCCAATCAACTCTTAAGTTGAAGCTGATTTTATTTGAGAGAGAGATTTTCTGTCCACTAATCTACTCCCCCAAATGCCTACAGCAGCCAGAGCTGGGCCGAGCATTAGCCAGGTGCCTGGAACTCCATCCAGACCTCCTACGTGGGTGACAGGGACCCAAGTACTTGAGCCATCACCTTCTGCCTCCCAGAGTGTGCACTAGCAGAAAGCAGGATCTAAAGCAGAGGAGCTGGGCTTTGAATGGGGGACTCTGATATGGGTTGTAGGCACCCCAGGCAGCATCGAAACAGCTGTGCCAAACACCTGCCCCGTGTAGTTGGATTTTACCTTTGGAGAAGATGAAATATTTGAAGCCTTGAACACTCCAAGCTCAATGCTGTCCTTGTACTTTTGTTCCCTCTGTTCAGGGTGTACTCCCCTAGGTGTCCCCAAGGCTTCGTGCTCCACTTCCTGCAGTCTTGTTTTCAGATGCCACCTGTCCGTAAGGCCCTCCCTTGCACACATCGTTTCCCACTGCTTTGCTTTGTCTTTAGCCTTTGCAGCTCTCTAACCTAATGTTTACTCTGTAATCTGGCTTAGTATCTCCCGCCCCACTAGATTGCCAACTCCACAAGGGCAGGAAATGTTGCCTATATTGTTTGCTGCTTGATCTCCAGCACCTAGAATAGCACTTTGCATGTAGCAAGTGCTCAGATTTGTGGAGGGAGGGAGAGAGTCCAGCTGATGGGTGTGGGAATTTGTACAGCACACAGTATTGGTGCAGGTAGACTAAATGCATGCGTGTGTGTGAGTGTGTGTATGCAATAGAAGTAATTTAGTTAGGAAGCACATGTTGGAATCAGACATTAGATAAGTTGAAGACCAGGCCAGAGAACTATTTTATTCTACATATAATGAAAGCTATCAAATATTTCCAAGAAGAAACTGATGTGAACAGAGTTCTATTTTAAGTGGATTGACCTGGGGCTAGTGCTGTGGTGCAGTGAGTTGAAGGCCAGGCTTGCCACACTGGCATCCCATATGGGCACTGGTTCAAATCTCAGCTGCTCCATTTCTGATCCAGCTCCCTGATGATGTGCCTGGGAAAGCAGCAGAGGATAGCTCAAGTCCTTGGGCCCCTACACCTGCATGGGAGACCCAGAAGAAGCTCCTGGCTCCTTGCTCAGATCAGCTCAGCTCCAACTGTTGCAACCATTTGGGGAGTGAACCAGCAGATGGAAGCTTGCTCGCTCTCTCTTTCTCTCTCCCTCTCCCTCTCCTTCCCCCTTTCTCTCTCCATATCCATCTCTGTCTCCATGTCCATCTCTACCTCTCTCTGTAACTCTGACTTTCAAATAAATAAAATAAATCTTTTTTTAAAAAGTGAGGATTGATCTGACAGCGTTGTTTGTGGCAAGGGTAAGCAAAGGCTAAAGGTAGGAAGACCAGCTAGTTGACCATGACAGTAAATGACATAGAAGACTGTAGTGATCTTAATCAAAGAGGAGTTGAAATTGAGAGGATAAAGGGAGATGCATGAGAAAGGGCAAACAAAGAGGAGGAATTGATAAGATTTGATCCTGTTAGTCAAATGGAGAGCTAGAGAAGAGGGAAGAGGGAAACGATCCGTCTGTGCAGTGACTGGCGTGAGAACTGACCTAGCATTAATACCTAGTACTGAGGATCCTTAGAGATGACATTTGCTTTCTCCTTAGGAAGCATTTCTGTACAAAGAAGAATCATGTTCTGTGTTTGGCTAACCTAACCCAAGACCGTTTGCGTATTGAGGAGCTTGAGGAACCTTCCTGTGGGACATGGCTGCCTGTTGAATGTTCTGCCATCCTTATCCCTGGGACTCCAGTCTTCTTTCTCATCAGCAAGGTTTCCATGAAGAGGAACTGCAGAGTTGCACATTTGGAAGCAAAGGGAGGGCTATGGAGTTGTCCAGCAGACGATGTAGGCCGCAAAGGGAACTTCAGTCTGAAAAAAAGAGCTCAAAGTCCCTTCTGCAGTCCATCATGGCATTTTTCAGGAGATAGGAATGTATTTCTGTGTGTGTGTGTGTGTGTGTGTGTGTGTGTGTGTAGAATCAGGGCTGCCAAGGATAACCACACAGACTGTGTCCTATAGAACTCACGGAGGCCTTATTCCCAGAGCGTGGTGGCCGTGCTGCTTTCTGCAATGGGGATGTTTGCTCATGAAAACACACAGCAGAGAACTGACTGGAGGCTGGCTGTGCTCTTCCGGAATATCTCATCTTCCAGTTCCTGTGAAAGCTGCAGTCTGCCTTTAGAGATGAATTTTCTCAGTAACTCTTGTCTGATCTTTCGGGGTGAGTTCACCCATCCATCCTCTCCTGTGGCTGAAGGATCCATGACTGTCTGAGAAAGCGTGGAAGGTACAGGACTGAAAAACAGAACAGCTAAAGATAAGGGAGCTGGGGTGGCGAGGATTCTGAAGCCCTCTTAGGCCCAAACATTTGATGTTGTCCACAGACTCCTGCCTGTGGGTCCCTGGGCAAGGCATTGTCTTCTCTCTCAGCTCTCATCTCTGTCCTTTCAGTCAAGCTGGCCAACCCAAGTCAATGCACACCCAGTGCCCCACGTATTAAATATCAGCGCCGTTGCAAGTTTCAGAAGCAGCTGCTAAAAAAGTACTGTTCTCTGGTTTTCCCTCTCATTTTGAATATTTTCTTTCATTTCCTCCTATTTGCAATGCCTTGGGTGACATTCCATCAGGAAGTAAACTTTCCAAGTACTGTCATGTTAGAGCCTTAAGAGAGAACTGATGTGGCCTGGAGTGTTAACAGGAGCGCTCTGTACGATGAGAAATGTATGTTTTCTTTACTCTGGCCAGATTTTTCTAGACCAGCAAGTGAAGGTTTTTTAAATATTAGCATGTAGTATATTTAACAAAGTGCTTACTGAAAATCCCACAAAATATGTCTCTCCTGCATATTTTTAAAGCAGAGAGGCGTTCACCTTGGTTTGTGTAAGCATTCAGTGGTGCACGTTATACTTTATTTTGGCCGCTGTGATATATATTGGGAAGGTGGCTCTCTGTGGACACCCAGCAAAGTTGGCAAGCTGGACACAGTTGGTCCAAGGATAGGGCGACTTGAGTGAGCTTTGTACGAGAGCCCTCACTGTCTCCTATACAAATACATGTCTAAATTCATAGTCCAACTCATCACACCCATTGGCAATGAGGCAGTGGAGGCCAGTGCCTCATCATCTGTTGCTCACTGTAGCTGTGTCCTATGTGTTCCCTGACTCCAGGCTTGACCACTCTCTTGTGGCCACCAGAGTGCCTCCATTGTGTCTTTGGTTTAGCATCAGGCCTCCCCTAGAGAGGACGTGCCAGAATCTGCACAAAGAACTGCCTAGGAAAGGGATAAATGTGCTTTGAAAAGCCATATTTAGCATCATCAGTGCCTTGGAGGTATGTTTGCTAAAAGTGGAATAGTGATTTCTAGAATGAAGTCCAAACTTGTTATGTCACTCAGGTCCCTGCATGGGGGCCAGTGCTGAGGCACAGTGGGTTAAATTGCCACTTGTGTTGCTGGCATCCCATATCCAAGTGCTGGGTTCAAGCCCCAGCTGCTCCAACTCTAATCCAGCTTTCTGCTAATGCACCTGGGAAGGCAGTGGATGATGGCCCAAATGTTTGGGCCCCTGTACCCACGTGGGAGACCCAGATGGAGTTCCTGACTCTTGGCTTCCTTGCAGACTTGTAGGGAGTTAACCAATGGAGGGAAGGTCTTCCTCTCTTGATGTCTTTCTCTGGCTCTGCCTTTCAAATAAATAAATCTAAAAAATAAAATCCTGCATGGTGCTATACTTTACCAAGTTCCAAAATAATCTTTTGTTTTGATATTGCAAGTCTCAGTACCTGACACTGATGACACTAAGAGTAGGTCTTTGAGAGATTTTGACCTTGTTGTAGAAACAATGCACAAACCCAACTTCAAGTGGACTGAGATGTGCTGTTGTGGAGGGACACAGGCTTTCCAGGAAGGTGAAGGTTGCTAGAGCTACATGCTAACCGGCAGTAGAGTTACAGGTGAGTTAGAGTCCGATTCCCAAGGTGGAATTGTCAGGACTTAGACCTTCTAGAGTTCTGAGACAAAGGAAGACTCAGAATTGGCTGTCAGGTGTCCAGTGGGTGATTCCATGTGCACAGAGCAAGATAAAAGTAGAAAATGCAGTCCACAGAGCAAGCCTCAGGGGAAGGTTGGAGCTCTGCTTTGAACATGCCAAGCAAGAGGTCCCTGTGGGACCCTCGGACTGGGATGTCCAGTACAAAGTCTGGAGACATCAGATAGCAGATGATAGTGGAAGATAGGGGTGTAAATATCACCCAGCGTGGGCAAGTGGACAGGATAGGAGACAGGATGAAGCCAAAGACAGAATTACAGAGTGCCTTCACGTGAACTTTTTAATCTAAAATAAAATTTGAGAAATGAAGCCATTGCTTTTCTGCTTAAACATTTTAATTATGTTCTAAGAATAATCACCTGAAATTTCCATACATGGAATTTTATAAGAGGGGCTAGGGCACTTGCTCTTAAGTGCAGAGCAGCAAATTGATTAAAAAAAAAAAAGGACATGACTTTATACGAGGGAACTCCAAAAAGTTCATGAAAAATTGAATTAACAGTAAATTTAGGAGCTGCTGGGATGCTGCTGGATGCCCACGTCCTGTATCAGAGTCCCTAGATTCCAGTCCAGGCTCCATTCCTGGTTCCTGATTCCGTCTTCCTGGTAACGCAGACCCTGAGGGGGAGCGGGTGCTGATGGCTCTGGGACCCGGATTCCTGCCACCACACGGGGGACTCACATTGAGGTCCCAGCTTCTGGTTTCAATGTGGCTCAGCCCCAGCTGTTGTAGGCATTTGGGGAGTGAACAATGAATAAGGAATTTCTCAATAAAGATAACTTTATTTTCATACAAAAATGTTTGAAACTCACCCATACAAGGGGTCTTCAAAGAGTTCATGGAAAACTTAGCCATGGATTTCAACATCTTTTGCACCAAAATCAGTTTATCTTCTAATTCTGCTTCTCCACAAACATTTGGAAGAGCCCTTGTGTTTCTTCAGGTATCTTCATGGACAGCAGCACAGGAGATAACTTTTAAGAACTGCCCCTCTGACCTTGCCATCCCTTTTATCTTTGAGAACCTGATTTCTTTTCTTTTCAAAAGATACAAGTCATTTTAAAGTTCTCAGTTTAAACAAGTATTTATTTAAGGGGCATATATATATGTGTGTGTGTGTGTGTGTGTATATATATATATAGAGAGAGAGAGAGAGAGAGACAGACAGACAGACAGACAGAGAAATAGAACTCCCATCTGCTGCTTCACTCCCCAGGTGCCTCTAATAGCCGGGGTTGAGCTGAGTCTGAAAGCCAGAAGCCAGGAGCTCAATTCAGGTCTCCCAAGTGGGTGACAGGATCCCAGTTCCCTGGGCCATCACCACTGCCTTCTGGGGTCTGCATTTAGTAGGATAATGGAAACAGAAACTGCAGGTGGATATCAAATCCAGGCACTCTGATACGAGGTGTGAGCATCTTAGTCTCCAGACCAAACACATAGCCTCTAAAACGCACAATCTGTCCCATTTGAATTGATGTTATATTAATTTGCAGGAATCACCTTTCTCAGTGGTATGCAATGTCAGTGTGCCTCTTACAGTTATTGGCCTGTTCGGTTCAAAGTCAAGTGCTAATTGCTTCGTGCATCCCCCTTTTGGGAGCAACAAAATACCTTTTGGGGTCTGGAAGGCAGGAGGGAAATTGCCACCCCTGCTCCCTGCCTCCCTTCTCCCCACACCTGGCAGCCTTCCCAGGGTGGCAGAGGCAGGAGTCACAGCCCCCTCATGAAATGTCAGCACAGAACAGCGCGACTCTGGCCTGGAGCTGAGACCTTCTTAGCCTTGGGTTTTGCAGGCCCTAAGAGGGCTGGGGAAAGTGAGAACCCAGTGACCTTGTAAAACACAAGCCTCTCTCTTCACAGAGGGCCGCCCTGTGTTGCTGAGGGCTCTGGTTCCAAGTAGCAGGCACCAGCTCCACTGGGACTTACTGGAAGGAACTCTGGTGCTGACACCAGCTCTAGTGGGGTTTACTGGAAGGAAGTCTGGTGCTTACAGAATCAACAGGAGCAGAAGGAACAGGCTTGGGAAAAGGCAGGGACCTCAGAAGACGGGGCACCAAGGCTTTGACTGCACATTGCCCAGAAAGAGTCCCTACTGTCCCCTGTGCCTCTCAGGCTCCAAAGACCCAGCCTCTGCAGGAGCATCCAGTGGGACTGTCCAAGCCCTGCCTGCGTCCTGGTCACCAGGAGACTAGCAACAGGAAAATTAGGGTCTAGCCTGTTTACTTCCAAGAACGCTGTCCCCAAGCAGAAGGGCGGTTTGACGTTGTGTGGCCAGCCAGTGGCAAATGTTGTACTGTACTCCCTTTCAAGTATGTCAGCAGTGGGAGACTGGGGCTCATCGCATCGGCCCCTTTGGCTGCAGTCTGAACTGCAGACCAAAAGAAGAAACACACCCTTCCAGAGCTCATGCAAAGGGCCCAGCCTAGTGCTACGCATGTTAGATGTGATTGCAGCAGAACCTGCAACTGTTCATTCTTAGACCTTGAGAAAGTGTTGGAGAAAGAGGACAGTGGTTACCAGAGATTTTTTTCCATCCAGGGGAAATGAATGCAGCAATTGGAGACGGCAGAATACGGGTGCTAAATAAAATAATGTGTCTAAAAGATGCCATTGTTTGAAATTAGCCCTTGGACTGACAGGTAATTAACTTCTGCCACTGGTTTAATTTCTTGTGTGGACTCGGATACAGGAAACCGTACATGGGTGGTAAGTTTTTTCCCCTCCCTCCAATCTCAGAGGAAATGTAACCGGGTATGAACTGGTGGCACAACTCATATATCAGTAGTCTGTAGAGGGCCTACATAAATCCTTTTCTTTAAAGTTATTTAACTGTTTTGAAAATGGTTTCAACAGAAGTAATTCCAATTGCACCAGAAAGGAAACCAGGGTCTAAAAGAAAAATATGCTCTCTTTGCTGAGCAAGGCAAACATATCAGTATGCAGAGAAACAAACCACTCTCTTGTGTTTTATTCCCTTAGCAAATCCCCCGAAACACTTACTTTATGTCCTTAAAAGGCTGATAGACAAAGAATCCTGTGGCCACTAAAAATTAATACCTACAACTGGTTCGTAACCACTTTACAAGGGCAGGTTCCTTTAAAAAAATTTCTCCATGAGTCACAGGCTCTCATTTTGGGACTTTGCACATACTATAAACACAACAAATACTTGTTGGTTTTTTTAAAGAAAAAAATATTTATCAAAAATGTACTCTCTGGGGAAGGATTTTCTATTTAAGGAATTAGATAACCTGCTGTTTTGCCCACATATCTTTATGCATAAACTAATGCATTGTATCACAATTCTAACCCCTTTTTTTAAATAACCTTGCCCTCCATGGAATAATATTTTTCCAGTAAGCTGTTGGTGACTTTCTGTCATGATGTTTCTGTTTACTCTCCCAAGAATTAATGTTTAAAATAAAAACTTTATATTTGGGAAAGATGAGAATTTGACACTGTTTAAAAAGCTTACAAATTCAAAGTCATTTGCTAAAACTGACTGCACTTTTGAGAACTGCAGGATAAAAATTTACAAACTAGATGACTCTAATGAAAACACAATGTTCACCTATCATCTATTATCTATGATAACACAGGAACTTAGATCTTGATCCATTACATCTTCTGGGTTTGCATTAGGAGAAGACAGAATCAACTTGTGATTAGTCTTACTTTCCTAAGATGTGCACACAACTCCTTTAATTCCAGGTTTTGCTCTGATGTCACCTCAGGGTGGCTTTTCTTGGCTACTATTTTAAATTGAGACTCACCCCGACTTGGCCAGAATGCCTAATCACCTTTTCCTACCTTACATTTCCCCCACAGAATGTGTCTGACACTAACTACATTTTGCTATGTATTTGTTTGTGGTGGTTGTTTTTGTGTGTCTTATTCTCTGTTGTGTGTCCACAACATATAACATACATACAAAGCATAGTAAATCAATGTTTGTAGACAGATATGTGAAGGCAAAGGTTGCTTGAAGATTTCTGATTATGGATATTTCCAACTGTCTTGTGGCTTAAAATGCAATTTCACATCAATTCTCTTTTTTGATTACTTTTACAACTGCGTTGTGTGTTAAGAAAGAACTATAATTCTAATTCAGCCAGTGAACAACCAGCAAGTGGTGGACTCCAACCTGACACCAAGGTTGATCACTGCCCTTGAAGTGCTGCGCCCACTCCAGTTGTCAATCTTTCTAGCTGGAGGAATTAATGCTACACGTGAAGCCACATCTCAGAGCAGTGGATTCCAGAACGAATATACGACTGGAATTTGAATGTAGCATATACATGATAACACAAAATCAAGAAAATAAGCCAATCTTTTCTAAATAAAATAATCCATTGTGGGCAAACGGCTCTCAAGGGTGTGACTCCTAACTTCCTCCCCGTTGAATGTCAGTTTCAAATGTCGTTGAAACTGACATTTGCTTCCCTATGATGCTTGTTGAGGCCACGTGTTGTCCACCTCGAAGAACCTCCACAAAGCCCCACTGACACTGCAACTCAACACCACACCCACGAGTACTTCAGTCCTCCCTTCGTGTGGCATTTCTGTTTCACATCATGCTGTGGTTAGAGGTTCAAGATCCCAGATCCAAAGCAGGCAGAACCAGACAACACTGGAAGCTCAGTGTGGTTGGGAAATTTGGGAGAAAGTGGGGAGGAATGACTGTGTCTTCTTGACACTGGGTCTTCGCTAAGTTCATGGAAAGTGTGCGTTAGCTTTCAATTCATTTTTCCATGAACTTTATGCAATTTCTTCCTATCAAACTGGGTTCAAGGTACTAAATTCTGATGGATAAATTAGATGACATAAGTGAAGGACCTGTTGCTACCCCAAGTATCCCTATGTCCCTTCTACTAGATTATAAAGTCATAGAAGATAATGCACTTACCAGTTTTACTTGACTCCTAATAATAGCTACCATAACAAAGTTTCACAGGCAGGCAGTTTAAACAACATAAATACAACACTTCACTGTTCTGGAGGCTAGAAAGCTGAGACCAAGCTGTCCTAGGCTTGGTTCCTGCTGAGGACTGTGGGGCAGAATCTATTCTATGCTATCGCTCACTTCCAGTGGTTTCGTGGCAGCCTTTGGTGCTGCTCAGCTTGTAGAAACATCGCCGTGACCTTGGCCTTCATCATGACATCATGTTCTCCTGTTGGATGTCTGCTTTTTCCAAAGGCAGCAGTTGCATAAGATTGGGTTCCCACCTACTGCAGTATGACCTCACCTTAGCTAAGTATATCTGCAATGGCCCTGTTTTCAAAGATCATATTCTAAAGTACTAAGGGTGAGGACTTCACAGTATCAGTTTTGAGGAACACAATAAAACCTGTAACACTGGACTTGACATCTTCATATCTCTGCTGTTCACCTCTCACATGTCAGGGCATGGTTGCTGAATCCATGACAAGTGGTGCTTTAAAAATTTCCTGGAAAATGGAATTAAAAGATAAGTTTATTTGGGTGCCAGAGAATTTTGAAATCCACCCATATGAGGGTCTTCAAGATGTTCATGAAAAATGTATCTTATGGAAAAAAACTATACAAGAACTTCAAAACTTTATACAAGATAAATTTACTTGTATCTTTTAATTCTATTTTTTATTAGGTGTCTGAATTTCCTTTGTAGATGTACAGAAAACTCTAGAAGGTTTAGAGCTGGAGCCACTTTGCTGCAGATGCATGGGTTTTTGAAAATTGCCTGTACATCCACATCTTACTAAAAGAGGAGTCTCTCCAGCCGGTCCTCACTGGACGTTGGGTTAGGTCCTTGTATCAGGAAGGTGGCTTATGTTAAGGTGCATATTATGTTTAGGACTTTTGAAGAGGTTTTTAATATCTTCACATATAATATGTGTATAGTGGGGTTAGCAAGTAAAAAGATTTGTCTCCCGTAATGTACGTGCAGGCATAGAGAATATTGTATTCCAATGAGAAGCCACATTTATTAAAGGTGTAATATTTAAATTAAAATGTTGTACCTTATACCTCCCTATTTTTATATTTATCTTTCTTCTGAAAATCTTATCAGAACTTTTAGGATTGCTTTTCTGGCCATGTAGATTTATTTGGGCACCTAATAATGGATTTATAATGTATTCTGTAAGTAGTTGGTACTGAAATTTTGAGTTTCTAAATCTGAAGATTTGCAGTGATGAGAACAGGACTGTCCATCAAGCTTAAGATCTTACAGAAAGTCTATAAATATTTGTTGAATGACTGTATGTGGTAGAGCAGAAGTGAAGTCATTTGTTTAAACTCCATTTGAACCAAAGAAATCAGTTACCTACTGTGAACATAATGCTACATTCAAAAACTGTGAAAACAAATTTTAATTTTTACTATCATGTTATTTCCCATACGCTGGGTTTTCTTAGGACACCTGACTCTTTCCTAAATCTTTGCCATTGTGGCTGAGTTTTGCAAGTGCTCTATAATGAAAGGAGCCTCTCAAAAGCAGGATGAGAGAAGAGAGAGAATGTGCTTGCATTTGCATAGGGCAGGAGGGCACACTCCCATCTGGCAGAGTAGCTGACTGGGTCCATGTGTGAGTGCTCATTAAACTCACATTAATGCATGAGCTGCCCCAAATGTGTAAATGCCATTTTAGCTTGTTTGCTTTCTCCCAGACAACGGCATTGACTTTGGGGGGCTACCCCTCGTTGTTTACTTGCCAGTGGCATTTGACCTGGGGTCAGACCTGTATTTAACCCTTTTCTATAGGTCAAAACCAAATTAATTTGGTGAGAATTAAATTGGAAATGAGTCATCTGTACAGCAGGTGTCCCTGTGGAGAATGTGGGCCAGGTGGAAACATTTTAAGATCTGTGCCTGGGCCATCTCTGAAGAAGCTGCAGAGGTCAAGGAGGCAACTCCAAGGCACTGCACGTGGGGAGGGCCTGGGGTCGGACGTAGCAGGTGCCCACCCGGGGCACTTTTCTCAGCAGTGTGGGGAGCCTTTCAAAGAGGCCCCTTTTGGAAATAATTTATTCATAGATTCATGAATATCTATCTTGGGCATTCCTTGTGGACTGATTTACTTAGAAGTTGCCCTAAATGGTTGGAGCTGTAGCCTTTATCCCTACCTCCCACTGTCAACCAAAGGCTTTGATTTGAAGGGAAGAAAATATTGCAATTTTTTTTTCATCTTTCTTTTCTCTAGAGGATGAAGAAGATGAGGAAATGGTGGAACCTAAAGTTGGCCACGACTCAGAACTGGAAAGTCAAGACCCAAAACAGGAGGTGAAGGAAGGTATGTTGGGGGAAATGCATTGAGCAATCATTTTATTAGTACTTTGTGTTCTTTTTACCAATGCAAAAGATGATAGAGGTAAGTAAAAATTGATTTTATGTCTTTTATATGAAGTTTTCTATCATTAGTCAATGTTTTACATTTAGCAATGCAATCTGTAACCTCCAAAGCAAGAATCATTGATTTCTCAACTGCTACAAGCAAAGAAAATTCAAACCACTTGCAACTGCATAACAAATCCAATAAAATTCTTACTAAATAGTGATACAATGATACATGTTATCAACTGTCACATTATGTAGTTCGTTCCACCATATATCCTCATCATAGCAGCAAAGGGAAGTAGACATAATTATTTTATTAACACTGAAAAGTTTTTTTCATGGCATCTACATAGAAACGTTAACAGTGATCATTATTATTAACTGCACTATCAAAAGTTTTCTTCACAGCTCTGCCCATATAAGGAGGAACAGCTTCTTTCATGTTCCATTGGCTTATTAAGGGCTTACCATATTCTTGACCCTCTCCTAAGCATCCTACAGATATTTTCTACTCTTCATAGAATCGATTTGAAGCTGATATTATTATTATCCCTACTTTGCCAACAGAGAACTAAGAAGAGAGAAGTTCAAGAACTTACTCAAGGATAAATAATTTTGAAGTACATGCATCAAGATTTAGAGTTGAATCCAAAGCCAGTACATGTCAACACAATGCCACCCTAATGACAATTCCTTGCAAATCTAATTTTGTATTACTTTGGGATTCTCAGCCCACTGAGGTAGAGAATTTTGAAATTGTCATTCTTGCTGACAGATGAAGGATAACTGAGTGTAGATGAGAAAAAAAACTCTTCCTTAATTCCTAGAGTGTCCAAGTGTAGATTAATATAGCTCTAATTCAAAGCAATTTGATTTGTAAATGTTAAAGATGGCTGTGGCTCTGTCAGGGTATGTGGTATACAGCTGACACTGGGGACTGTAGTAGGAATGTGTGCATGTTGGTCACCCATACTGACTGCAATCCCTGTCTCTCGTGAGAAAAATTACTGTAGCCCCAATACCTATTGCAGATAACATCCATTTAGAGTTCAAGTTTTGCATGGATGTCACATGGAGTTAAATGAAGCCCTTTTCTTAATTGGTAAAGACTGTCTTATGATGAGGGACCTCGGAGGTGTGTGACTTGATTTGTTTTATGCAATCTCAGGAATGTATCCGCTGGTGCAGGGCAGCGAGGAAAAAGCACAGGCCCTAAAGCCAGGCAACCTAGAGTGGCGCCTTAGCTCTGCCATGGATTTGCTATGTGATCACTTCTGAACAGCGTAGCTGGTGTACCTCTGTGGGCTTCAGTTTGCTCATGGAGCACACAAACGTGTCTGCCCCTTGAAGGTTCCTTTTCCAACACTCAAATGGGCCAGTGTGGAAAGGTGTTTGGCACAAAGCACGTGCTGCATGATCATTTGCTCAATTTTCGTTAGCAGTCTTACCTTGCAGCGCCTGGGTCTACAACTGGGCCCTACCCCCGATGGGGTACCCTTGGGGTTTCTGTGCTGCGTGTTCCCACAGCTGTGACTTTGAAAGGGGAGCACGGTTGCCTGGGCCCCACAAGGCACGTCAGAATTTGTGGAAATAGCAAGAGAGATGCAAGAATCCCATGGAGGGTCCCTGTTCTCCTGGAGTGGGAACGAGGGCAGGAGGACAGTTCAGCAGTGTGACAGCAGCGTCCGCAGAGGGTAAGGGCCACGGTTTCCCGAGGGAGCCCAAGATGGAAGAGTCTTCACATTTCAACTTCTAGTAGAAACAGCTTTGTGCAAACAGCTGGCGAGTAGCCTGTCTTTCTCACAGGTGCAGCAAAGGACAAAGGAAGTCAGCTCCGATTGAAAGCCCTCTTTTGCCTTTTGCCAAACATCCTTTAAAATACGCCAGGTGCTAAGGCGCTGGGGTGTTTCTGTGCGTCTCGGCCTGGATCCCCCCTCAGCCTCACCCTCAGCTCCAGTCTCCTAAAGTCTCCTAAGCGTCTTCTCTGGCAGAGGAAAGCATCCTCCTCCTTACGTTCTGGGCAAAAACACCCTCCAGTTGTAACCGTTGCTCGTGCTTCATGGAATTGATTAAAGCCCTGTGAAGTCAAAGAGGAATCTGAAAGAACATTTCCTGTGACTGCCGCACTGTGTGCCTTATTCTCCATTAATGGCTTTTCTGCAAATTAGCACATAATGGGTTAAAACCATGTTTATGTTGGCATCAAACCCTCTGGGTTTTTCTCTTTCTTTTTTTTTAAGCAAGACAGTATTTTGCAAACTTTTGAAAGAATCTCTAGCAGATCTCACCGTGGCGCCATTCACACGCCTGCATCATAGTTAGGGCTGTGTCAGCACTTCCATTAGGAACCCTGGGCCTCGGGGATTTATTACTCAGCCATAAAAGTTTGCTCTGGGCTGAAATTTGACATACACGGTTGCAAACCAGAGAGCACATTTTTGAGAAATCTGGCCCTTTTTTTGTCTTTTGGAATGAAGTTACAAACATGGTGAGGAGGAGACAGAAAAATCGGTGCTAACTTTTTACACTTTCGCCCAAGTGACATCAAAATGCATTAAAAAGTAAAGAAGTATAGCTTTGATGTATTACTGTTTTCACTCCCCTCCTGCCGCCCACAATTGCACAGGAAAAAAACAGCAGGTACATTTCAGCTTTTAATCAAATGGAGGAAATCTCTCTATGTCAGTGCTCCAGTGTCTTCGTGTTTAGAGATTCAGACACATCAGAATCAGAAACCCAACTCTTGTAAACACAAATTAACTCATAAACCTCACATTCACTTCAGAGAAAAACATTCTTTGTTGTTCGTTTGGTTTGGGTTTTCTTGCTGCTGTTTATCAACTGATTTCACTGTAAAATTCCCATGACAGCCACTGCCCTTATTTAATCTCATGTTTTTCCTGGCTATTTAGGTTTATTTTTTATCTTTTAGATATTCCAGAAAAATATTTCTACAAATCGTTTGATTTTGAAACTAAGGGATACCTCATTTGAAACAAGGCAAAGCATTCCTGTAGTAGATATTTTCAAAATAACTTTTAATCTAAGAATGAGGTAGCAAGATATTCAGTGTAAGTGGCAAACTTCCTTCTGCATATTGCACTCCTATAAAGGAAAAAATCTCCAGGCCCCAGATACCAAGATAGGTGCGTAGTCAGCAAAGAGAAACTAATGTACAGTCACGTTAATTATTTGAACAATAATTACAAAATTTAAAAGGGAATTCTAAGATAATATTTTTCATGTAGAAAACTAATATAGTTAAAGCATACTGTTTGAATAAAATTATAATAAATGGCACATATTCCTAAACCCTGAAAATGCCAAGATTAAAAACATAAGCTAGAGAATGTATTGGAAAATGCTATTACTGAAATTAAGGTGGTTAATTTCAATGAGAATGGATTTGTAAATATAAGAAAAATAAAGAAAAAGGGTAGTTTGATCCTAAAGAGATTTCCCTTTGCTTCTATTTTACTTATCCCTGCGATGCATCAAGTTACTTTTATGAACACAGTGATTTTTAGTTTTAAGATGTTTATGTTTCTGTACTTCTAGAAATTGTCAGAATTTGTACTTGAACTAAGGAGACAGTAATGACATACATTTCTGCTGGTTTCCCTTAATGAACCCTTGGATTAAGGGTAATGAATGAGATTAAAAACATGCACAATTTATAGAATACTGTATCAGTACAAAATTTTAGGCTTTATTTGCAATGTAAACTGTTTAGAATTCATACACAGCTAAATTAGAAATATTAATACACTTAATGGATAGTGATAAAATGTTTACTATGAAAAAAAGGGCAATAAGGAAAATCAAGAAAAAAATCAGATCAATTCCTTCTGAAAGATAAACTAAAAAGTATTTTCTTATGTTAAAAATATTTATATTGAAATACATAAATAACAAATAAAGGAAATTAGTAAAATTTATATTCGAGTTGAATACTGCAGGCCACAAATTCGTAGAATTACTCAGCCTTCTGAATGATGGATGTTATTGATCTGGTCCATTACGTTGTTATTCAAGCCAAATATAACTATTTAAGTAACTTTTAATAAACTTGAAAATTGTAGTCATCTGCATTGTTAGTGATACTTACATAATCTTTATTTTTATTTTTACTTCGAAGCACTCTGAATATGTGAAGTATTGTTATCTGTCAGATCTTGGCAGAAAGACTCCATGTGTTGTGTTGCAAAAAAACAAGCAAACAAACAAACAAAAAAAACTTGTCACAGTGGTATTTTGTACTTACCTTATAAGAAAATAAAATGTTACCAGTGCCAAGTTTTGTCCTCCTGTGCCTTTTGCTACTCAGTTATCCTTTTCCTTTTATGTCACGAACTTGTTAAGAAGTCCATTACGTTCCAGAAACAGATTTTTCAGGAAGAATTTGGGCTCTGTCCTGGAGTAAAACTCTCTGATTCTATTTGTGTGTGTGCCTGTACTTTGAACTTGGTAGGTCCCATTAGTCAACCAATTCTCTTTCCAGAAATCTGATTATTAATTATTAATCTGATCAATTAATTCTGCTGATGTTTTTATCTATCAATACACATGATGATTATAGTTCCTAGATGCTGTTATGATTTTATTATATTGTAGCAATACTTATCAATTTAAAAATTTCTAAGTATGTGAGGTCTTTAAAATCAAAAGTAACCCTTTAACTCCTAAGCTGAATATTATTTATGACTTTAAAAGTGCACATCCCATGCATGTGATTATTCTGTGCCCACAAATCATGCCATTTGATCCCTATTGGACATCAAAGCTTTTAATATAAAATATATCCTCTGTTTTGCTTCAGTAGCAATTTAATCTTGAACCCAATATTGTATTGTCAACCATGGTATCTGGAGAGGCTACTGCTTCACCCACCTGAACCTGGCCTCTGGAAGCATACTTTGATCAGCCATTTATGTTTCTCTAAGAGAAGAAGTTGTGTGTCTTGAAAGCTGAGATCAAAGTGACAATAAGCCTCAGGGAAGAAGAAATTACAGAAAATTACACAGATACCATTTTTTATTCAAGGTAATGGACCTGTACGGCAAGATGCAGGTGAAATAGAAGTGACTGGAAAAGATAAACAGAGACTAGAAAGACTTTCTTATATTAGTAAAAAAAGGAATAAAGGAGGAAAGTTCCTACGTCTTTGCTTAATTTCCAGTGTCTCAAGTCTTCCTTTAACAGTGACCAAGACTTAGGGAGTTTTTTTTTTCTTCTTGTCCCATAGCACCCTTGTTTAGTGAACTTGACTTATTTTCCTAACAGTATTAACCCAAACAAAATGGACCAAATATGTTGTAGTTTGAGTTTTATTTCTTTTTTCATCCTTGACATTTGGCGATCTCATTGCATTCTTGAGAGCGGGACTTCAGATATCTCACGGAGTTTCAGAAAGCAGGCTAATAAATTACAGCATAATTACTGGTTGTTGAATTCCTCACTGTTTTTGCAGTACATTTATGTTTCCCCTTTAAAGCAGACTTAAAGTTTTGGCATCGTAACCCCCATTTTATAGGTAAAACTCCTCAAAGAGCTTCAATTAATTCATTAAAGAGTCAAAGCCAGCAAACGGCAGGTTGGTTTTGTAGAGTTCTTTGTGTTATCTTTGGCTTCTACCTGTACCGAGCCAAAGCCAAAGGCTACTCATTGCCCATTTCTTTTTCTTTTCTTAAATATGTATTTATTTATTTGGAAGGCAGAGTTACAGAGAGCCAGGGGCAGAAGCAGAGAAAGGAAGAGAGAGAGAGAGAGAGAGAGAGAGAGAGAGAGATCTTCCATCCACTGGTTTACTCCCCAAATAACCACAATGGCCAGAGCTGAGCTGATCCAAAGCCAGGAGCCAGAGCTTCTTCTACGTCTCCCATATGGGTGCAGGGGCCCAAGGACTTGGGCCATCTTCTACTGCTTTCCTAGACCACAGCAGAGAGCTGGATCAGAAAAGGAGCAGCCAGGACTCGAACCAGCGCCCTATGGGATGCTGGTACTGCAGGCGGCAGCTTTACCTGCTATGCCACAGCAGCAGCCTCCTCATTGCCTATTTCACTATTTCTCAAACTAGTGCTGGGCAACACTGTGGCTAACATTTGTTGGGGGTTCTTGGAGCGCCCCGAAACACACATACATTAAGAGCTCTGGCAACGTAGGCAGCAAAGAATTTTCTCTCTGTATTTAGGGCTGCTGGAAACTATGGTGGGCTGTGTTGGGAGATTTCCGGTTGTGGTAGATGAATCATGTTTTGCCACCATAGTACCTGGAGAGCATTTCTTAAGGTGTGAACCAGTGACCAGAATCATTCTAGTCTTGTTCAAATATGGATTCTCAAGTGCCTCCCGAGCCCATGTCTCGTGGTCTGGGGCCAGGAAAGGAAAGCTGGAAGGGAACAGACATGAACATTAAAACTCTCAGTCCCCTGCAGTGGCTGTAGAAAGGCCCTTGAGAATTCCGATTTCTTAGGACAGGGGCTCCAGGGTGCTCTTAGTAGAATCACTTGACACTTCCATCAAGTGTTATGCTTCAGCTCACTGCACCTAAGCTATTCTGACCTCTGGCCAGGGGAAATTGGTCCTGGTTATGGCGATGGCCGTAGAAGTGTCTGGGAGACTGTGCGACCGTGAGCGAGCGATGCCCCCAGGAACCCTGTGTCTGAATGTAGCACATGGCTTCCTCTTGTCGGTTTGTCATCTGCACTCACGAAAGGTTCATCTGTCCAATGTTTGTTGGTGGCTCTCTATACCCGAAGATCCCTTGCCTATAGGTTTCTGAAAACCTGCTGGGAAGAAATCATTGTGTAACTGCAACAGGGCTCTGAGGTGCACTAAGTTTCAGGACCTGTAACACACAGCTCATTATTCCCTCTCCCTGGGTCTCAGTTTGCATCTTCAAATTTAGTTTGATAGCGCCAGAAAAGGAAGGCATAAAAATTGAGGGGCATTTTATATGAACATTTATTTGTGTTTTTGTATTTGTTTAAAAGTAGAAGATATCTTGGGTGAAAGTAGGTTGGGAAATACAGTCATTCAGCTTTTGAATGGAGACTATGCACTAACCAGTCAGCTTTACCAACTAACCACCTAAAACAAAATTAATTTACCCAGTAGAAAAGAGGAAAGGCACTATCTGGGTCATATAATATGTAGTTCCTACTTATTTAATACAGACAGCTTTATAATAGTGTCTAATATATGTATACATGTGTATTTATTATATATGTATATACTCATCTATTTTACCATATTTGAGCTGTTTTTCAAATTCAATTGTGAAGAAAGCAACATTTAGATCCAATTGATAAACACACCAATGTATTTTCATTTGTAATCTTTTCTAACACTTCAAAATAATAATTAGGCCAGATATGAAATTTTTTGTGGAGACATTGCACAAATCTTGGGTGTGAATCTGTGAGTAATTAGAATCAGTCTAAACAATAGCTTGTTTCTCTGTCTCACCTCGCCTTTGATAAGCAGGCTTTTTCGAGAATTGGATTTCTCTTGCACAGTGTTAATTGACTCTTTTTTTTTTTTTTTTTTTTGTCCTGACAATCTCTTCCATGAAAAGCCCCTCCCAGGGAACTGACAGAAGAAGAGAAACAGCAGATCCTTCATTCAGAGGAGTTTCTCATCTTTTTTGATCGGACAATACGGGTCATTGAGAGAGCTCTGGCTGAAGACGCTGACATCTTTTTTGACTACAGCGGTCGAGAGTTAGAGGAGAAAGATGGGTTAGTCTCTAGTGTGCATGTTTTAAAAAATGGTATCATACGGTATGTGTTGATTGTAAATTTATCCATGTATTGACAAGACAAATCCCAAATCTAACAAATAAGAGGAGGAGGAAACTACAGGACTGGTTTTGCTGAACAGCGTTGAAGATGGGCTTCGGTTATCACTTCCAGCATAGTTTCCCTGTAGTTATCACGTGTTCCCGTGACAGGCTTGTGAACTTGATGTCTGGGGGAAAGTTCAGGAGACAGAGCCTGGCAGTCTTCCACATTGTCCTTAGTGCCAACGCTCTTATAAGCAGGCTTGTGTATGGGACATTGATGTCTACATAAACAGGAAGTTGAAGAAACTTAACATGAGACATGAGCAAAAGTAACTGATATGGAAGACATTGAAGATTGGAAAAGTTTTCTTCTTTTTGATTCAGTAAAAATCATGCTCACATACACACTTCAAAACTATCATGGAAAACAGAATTAAAAAAGTTTATCTTGGTTCAAAAAAAAATTGAAAGACATGCAAAGTGTTTTCAAAACGTGCATGCCCATGAGCTTTTTGAAGACATCTTTTAAGCCTTTTGGCATAAGCAAGGGTACATTTACAGACAAACGAACGAACAAAACCTAAAAAGAGTGAGGGGCCCTGAATTGCTTTCTCTGTGACTGTCCTGTGTATCAGAGAAGGGATAGTATATCATTATGGGGATCGTAGCAGACCCTTCGTGGGCCTCAGAAGACATAGACAGAGCCGTCTGGGAGCCACTGCTTTCTCCTAGTCAACAACAATATGGGAAGGTGGGATCACTTGCCCTTTTCATCAGACCTGATATTTTACTATTCTTAAAATTCAAATGTATTCATTTCCAAATCATTGAGGATGCTCCAAGGAATATAAGAGTCTCTGAAAACAGTTTTAAAAGGGAGTTCGGCAAATGTTCTCAGCAGTTGGAAGCATCTTTAGACAAGTTTACAGAGACAAGAATATTTTGAATATACGAGTGATTTTTTTTTCTTTTAAAAAGCCACTACTCCATGGCTCAGATAATTCTGGGCCCCATTTTATCCTAAGTCAAGTACGTTCTGGCCAGGTATTATCCTGGGCTCCTTGCAGAACCTGAGTGCATGTCCCTCTTGCCTGAATTGGTAGTGATGAAGCTGAGGAAGAATCAGGCTATTTTAGAAAGAGCTTTTCACAAAGGAGAGCATCTCCATTTCATGTATTTATGATCAAAGTTGGCTGTCAAAGTGGATGTATTGAGTATTATGTCCCACACTTTGGTCGTCCCACTGTTTCAGTGTGACTGGAATGCAGACCAAGGCCATTCTGAAACATCATGTGTATCTCTTATGTGCAATCTCTCCCAGGGATGTTCAAGCTGGGGCCAACCTGTCTTTCAACCGCCAGTTCTACGATGAGCATTGGTCCAAGCATCGAGTGGTCACTTGCATGGACTGGTCTCTCCAGGTAAGAGCTACTGCTGGCATAGGACAAACTGGGTTTATGTTCTGATGGCATTTGTGTGAACAAATATGTGAGATTTCTTTCTTCACTTCGGATGTTTCCTAGCCTGCGAGTCTCTTTTCCATGCCTATTGGTTTTCTTTCTCATTTTGTTGTGGTTTCAGTTTAGATTCTCCACTTAGTTAAGCATATTTATTGAGTACCTATTATGTGCTCAGTAC